AATAAAATTGAATTGAATTGACTACAGTGATACCACCAGGCAGCTGTTTTGGTCCTTGTTCTTTGGTTTATCTTTATTTTATCTTTAATTTCTTGCAGTATCACATGGCGTATTATTTGCTGACAGAACTTTAGTTTTCAACAAGTTATATGTAGTGCAAAATATGATTTTCCAAGAATCTATAGCCAAGTTAGATTTTTAATAAGGAATAAAAGTTATGGTTATTCTTGTAAAAACGAATGAAGATGTTTAAGATTTTTAAAAAAAATCCCAACAGATTTCCAATAAGATGTATAGGAATCCAAAGTAATTTTATTGGCACCGACAGAAAAACAATTTTTTCATTTAATATGACTAAAAATCCCATTAGAAGCACGTTTCTTTCTATAGAAATCTTAAAGGATTTTTAGAAACTTATGGGAATCCTAAAGGCTTCTATTGGAAAAGATGAAAATCCTACAGAACTTTTTGACCATGGCTGCTTGAACAGCTGGTGTTAAGTTACAGAAATGCGTCGATAAATGGGGTCTTAAGGGACAAAAAGGTGCAACAATATTTCGTTTAGCGTGCTGCTAATGAACAACTCCCCAGTTTCTCTCTACAGTATGTAATGTCATTTTGTTGACACAAACTGCTACAAGGCAACATGAGACGACCGGTTTGACGTTATACTCCACACAAATAACCAAACCAAAGCCACTCATTCGGGTTAAATAAACCTAAATTCAGACTCTAAAGGATACTTGCAAATCAATTATAGATAAACGAGTGGTGTGCGCAGAGAAAGAGCTGCAACAGCTAACACGGAACCCGACAATATGCGAAGCTAACGTTATCTTAACTACAGTAACACAGATATCCGCTTAAGCTAACTTACGGTGCTAGAAAAACTCGTCACGGACCACAACATTTTACATTTTAAAAGTAACACTTATTTGGCGAGCTTTACATACAAACACACCAGAATTAAAACGATAAAAGACAGCTTTGTATCCGGACAAACTATCTCGGTAGAGACCCTTTTGCTGTAGCTTGTCCGCTAGCTAGCAGCTAACGACGACTGCTGGCTGAGTCAGCTATGCTAACCATTTGTTTGGGTTGACAATCAACTAGCCCAGTAAGCGGACACCCTAACGTTAAACTAACCAATACAGCACTACTTTATGCAGCACTGCTACATTTGGCGTAAACGGAGGCGTTTGACAACGTTAAAATGTATCTCACCACACTAGGTCCCCGATCCTCAGATGCACCGTCGCCATCTTACAACTTTAATAAAACGTCGCACTGAATGAGGGGAAAAGACAACACACACCCACTAATCACATGTGAGGACAAGCCCTTCCTCTCCATGTAACATCCGCTGCTGGCTTTATTTATACTTCTGCAAAATGTAGAAAAGTAGTTTCTTACAAGCTTTCTTACATACAATGTATATAAAAAGTTAACATATTTCATATTATATAAACAAACAGGGAAATGACTATAAACCAACATAAAAACAAATGCTGTAGTGTGTTAAATCTACATGCCACGAATAAACACGTTCATATAGTAATATCATATGCTTCATATTATATTTAAACCTAATATTTAACGAGGTAAATTTCCAAATAAGACCAATTTTTACTTATTTCCGTAGCATCACCTTCTGTGTTCACATCTTTTTAACAGCACTTACTGCCATCTGGTGGGAGCACGACCATCTCTGTGGGTTCCTTGGTCTTTCCTATTTTAATTCAATTACATTTAATTCATATAGCGCCAAAAGTTATCTCAGGACACTTTTCAAAAGGCAGAGAGAAGGACAGAGACAAAGGAGCACAACAACTATACTAACAGAAATTACTGATGATGATGATGACGGCCACAACGATGGGGGACAATGGACAATAATAATAGTAACTATAATAATAATAATAATAATAATATCAGTCATATTAGCAGTGGAAGTCAAGCAGGACTATGGCAGCAGGCACCACCAGGA